CTCCCCCCCCGCCTTTCCTTGTCGAGCGGATGTAAAAAACGACGGTAGCTGCCCCTCATTCTCTCTCTCTCCTTGCTGCTAGCGCTGTTCCCTCGGCTTCCTCTTCCTTCTCCCCCCTCCCCTATTTGCCTCATACATCCAGGCCAGAGGCCTGCATTGTGAGCAGCCTTCCCAGCCCCTCGCGTTTAGGTTCCCACCTCACTACGCGGTACTCCGCCGGTTTCAGGCCCCCTCCACCGTTACCATTTTTACGTGCTGCTACCACGGGTACTCCTGCAGCCTGTTATTCTTCAATTAATGGAAGATGTGATTGCGCGATCTGTGTAAAGGCTATAATAGCTGTATAAAGGCTTTCCTTATTTAACTGGGAGAATTTATCATACTTTAGGACTAGAAAAAATCCTTCTTTGTGTAGAAGCAAATTTCAGCCTGTACAGTTCATTATGAGTATAGATTTGGTCTATGAAAACACATTTAATTTTAAAGACTGGACAGGATTGTTTTGAAATACCACTGTTCACTCATCGTGAAAATGGAACATGTAATCTCAAAAGTGCAAAGGAATGGGACCTTGGGTTGTTTAAATTACTTGTGTCCAGATAAGACTAGGTTTTTAGGGATAATACAGTATTCGATCGAATATGCTCAAGTCAGCATGCAAAAAAGGATTCATCTGAAAAGCTTATGATACTGTATTTAAATGTTAATTTAATGTGCAGGATTAGTTTTCATGACTGCCATATCTAGAATGCACTGATTTATATCATTCTGGGAATAGCTTTAGAGTGCTTTGGGTGTCTCTAGTTATGGTTTTTCCATATATTTTACTGGTTAGGATTTTTTCTTTTTGGTTGTCATCTTAAAGATAAGTGCTTCTGGTATTCTGCCACACATCTTTTAACTTGAGAATCCCCCAGCCTGATTTTCTGGAGGCAGTGCAATATATTTAACAGTTTACCTAGTCAGTTGAACTGTGGAGAAAATGGTTATGATCAAAAGAATAATTTCTTTAAATGTAAGAGATTGCAGCTGTCAAACTCGGTGAAAATCTCTGAAATGAGAAAAAAGGCAGTTACTGATGTAGACTGTCTCATGGATGTGGGTGCAGAAAGCCCATAAAAGTGGGAAGAATGAATACCTGAGCAAAGAAGGTAATTTCATCATTTGCTGATGAAATTTGAATTGGATATCCATCGAGAGTTCATCCAACAGTGATAATAAGCAAGTGTGATATTTCCACTTATTTAAAAACAAAACAAAACTCCAAATCACCTTTGATCCTACAGTGTGATCTTTGAAAATACTGTTTGCTACTAGGGAAGGAAGAGCTAGGGATGCAGAATATAAACATTTGAGTAGGTAAATGTGAAAAAGCATCAAGTTTTCAACTCTGCTGAAAGCCTTTACAGAGCAGCACAAATATATCTATCATAATGATAATTTGTTAAGTCCTGTAATGTGCAATACAATTTTTCGCCTATGTTGTTTTTTAGAATAAATCATAGGGGATGACAAATGCTTTTTTTTTTTTTTTTTTTTTTTTTTTTTTTTACATCAGTGGACATGAACTTTGGGGGTTTTTTTGGGGGGGGGGGGGGTGGCGGGGCGTTGAATGACCCTGATGCTAATGTGCTCAAGTTAAGGAAAAAAAAATTGCTGCTTTTCTTGGGGGGATGGGGGGGAACCACACAAGTGATATCTGTTCTCTTTGAAAATAAAATATTTTATATCTTGAAAAAGGAATCTAGGACACTGGCTGAAATAGCAAAAGCAGAACTTGATGGTACTATTTTGAAGAGCAGACCACTTCGAATTCGATTTGCTACACATGGAGCTGCCCTAACGGTCAAGAATCTTTCACCTGTGGTTTCTAATGAGCTGCTGGAACAAGCATTCTCTCAATTTGGGCCAGTGGAAAGAGCTGTTGTTGTAGTAGATGATCGTGGCAGAGCTACAGGAAAAGGTTTCGTAGAGTTTGCAGCAAAACCGCCAGCACGGAAAGCTCTAGAAAGATGCAGTGTTGGGGCATTCTTGCTAACAACGTAAGTTCACAGGCTTTTGTTTGAATTTTTGTGAGTATATATTTCTGATGTGAAAGAAAACTGCATTCATGAGTATTCCCTAGTTACTATTTTCAAGTTATGAAAGCCCTGAGGTGAGGAATTAAGGTGTTTTACGTTAATACCCCAAATACTCCTGATTTTTTGGGGGAAGGAAAACCATGTTTTTCTGCTTACTGTTTATAAGACTTGTAATTACCATATGAGAGTCTGATAGCAACATTCTGCTTTTCCTTGTCTATATGTAATATTATTTTTCCTTCTCTATATAGTAGGTCTTTTTCTAGTGACACTTTATTTTCATTGATTGCATTCTTCTTGATCCCAGTAACAATGTGAGAAAATAATATTCCTCTGTTTATTAGCAAAACAGTGGACTACATTGCTCATATTTCTGTAGACTCAGGAAAGTCTTCCTGCGTTTATTTCTATCTCAAAAGCTTTATTTGTGGCTTGAAAGGCCAGAAGTACTTTTTTTTTTTTTTTTTTAAATGAAGACTTAGATTCTGCAGAAGTTTATGGCAATGATCTCTGGAAAACTTTGTATTTCAAGGGCAAGCAAGCTTGCAAATTACAGCACTTCTCTCTTGCATCTATTATTTCTGTAGTTGCTGAAGAGAGTTGTTAACTGCTGTGCTTTAACACATTCACTAGTGACATTTTCAAATGCTTTCTTGAAGACTGTGTGAAATGAAAGATATTCAGGATTTTTTTTTATTTTTTTGGTTCTCATTTGGGAAAATAAGGCTGTGGTTCCACAGCATGGAAGCTTGCTGCCTTCAAATTGGGGAACTTGTAGTTCTTTTTATCTTCCTGCCCTGGCTGTGCTGCTGATCTTTTATCCGCTTGAGAACTTTCTGATACTTCCGTAAGCCACTTGTGCTTGTTAAAACAACAGAAAAGTATTCAGCTGCTTTTGTTGGGTTCATTTTTGGCTGTTTAATCACGTGCTTGCTAACATGGGTGCTATGGACATCAGGTCCAGTAGAGGATAAGGAGGAGAAAATGTTGCTAGGAGGAGATTGCAGGTGGGGAAAGGGTATGGAACTCCTCTTTCTCATGATAATGTCGTAAATCTTGTGTGCCACTGAACTAAGCTGGTGGCTGCATAGAAAATTCAATCTGAATATGTCTCTACTGTTATCAGTAGGTGCCAGCAATTTGTTCTTATCCCCTGGGTTTTCTTGGCATTAGTATTTGAATGGAAGCATGGTGAGCCAAACTAGGGAACTAATCTAGTTCAGTGTTACATGAATGCTATTCTTAGCATGAGAGATGTGGCAGGGAAAAAGAAGCTAGGATATGAGGGCGGGTATTCTTGTTTTACCAGCTGGATAGATTCGTTGGATTGAAATAACTATCTAACCATGGCCTGAGTGAATAAAAAGCCCTTGATCTTTATCTTGCTTAGGTGGCTGACATGTTCCCTAATGCGCAGTTGCAAAGATAATTAGTATGAATCTGCTGCCATGATACTTTCATGTTTTGCTTCAGAATCTAAAATTTTACATTTTTAGCTGAAAACTCTTTGCATGATCAGAAGAAAATCTTTCAATTCATGGGCTAAATATATCAAAACTGGGCATTTGAAAAGTTAATTTGGAGATTTCAAATTGTTGTTTTAAATCAAAGCTTTTTAACACCACAGTTCAGTTGCATTTAAATAACAGAACTGCCAGCAGTTGCCATGCTGAGTTGTGCAGTTGCTGAGTTGTGCTCTGTGATTGCTGAGTCGTACAGTTGCTGAGTTGTGCTTTGTAATTCCAGACTTCATCTTTTTAATCTGCACTCGATGCCCAAAACTTTCTTTTTCAGCTGTTGATGATGTTAAAATATACTGATTTTTTTCTGTGAAAAGATCTGCAAAGTGAAATAAAGGTGTGGAACACAATAAATAAGCACTGGCATTTTGAAAATAGTGTCTCTAGCTCTTTTGTTATCGCTTTAAGGTATGTGTTATAGTCTATGCTCCCAAGACTGATACAGAGAGCTTTTTACACAATTCAGGATCCTTGTACTGCTATCCTTGGCAGTACTGGCTAATACTTGTTTCTGATTACTACAGATAATGAGAATTCAAGGAAGGTATTTTCAAAGATAAATTAGGATTCTGATTTGTGAGAGTATGGTTGTTCAAAGAATGGGTTTTAAATAACTTAAGCAGAAATGTTTTTCTAATTATCACTGGAATATTAATGCCAAATTATCAAGCTGTTTTCAATTGTAGAATAACTTTCAAAAGTAACTTTTAATAGTCTGTGGAGTTATGAATACGTTGTGTTGCTCTGTTTTGGGTTTGTTTGGTGCTTTCCCAATATAATCATGGCCCCTGTGTTGCTTCACTGATGAAAACAAAAAGGTAGTACCTTCCTAAATATTTTGTAATTGTTTATAGATGATTTTGAGATTTTTGTTTTTTAATTTTTAAATACTTCATAGCAAACACAACTACATCAAGTAAATTGTGGTTTCTAGGCAGAATAGCTGGTTTTGGGTGTAGACAATTATCTTCAAAGATCATTCTTAAAATCAGGATTCATTGGAATTCTATGATTTAAGAAGAATTTGCAAGACACGGGGATTACAGATAGATACACAGGAATTATAGAGAACATGTAAGCTTTCTGAAGTGTTTCCTCAAAATACTAGAATAACTTTTAACTACTTCATTTCTGATTCAATTATTGAATTGAAACTGTCTTCCAGAACACCTCGACCTGTTGTTGTAGAACCAATGGAGCAATTTGATGATGAAGATGGGCTCCCAGAGAAGCTAATGCAAAAAACACAACAGTATCACAAGTAAGTTGTGTTTAGCTTTGTTTTATAAAACATGATTTATGTTACTTAGCTTGATAAATATACGCTAATTTTTATTTTTGAGTTTGTATAACAGGAAGCAGTGTTTTGTATGTTGTGCTGTTTTGTGTCAAAGGATTAAATAGGGCCTTGCCAAGATTTCCAAATCATAGTAAAATTCAGACTTGTTCGTTTAACATTCTGTGCATTTACTAAAGTAGATAGATTCCTGGACTACACTGAAATCCGTTGGAGCTTGTTGCCAGCCAAGCTATAGTCTTTTATGGATTAGAGGTGTGGTCTAAGCCTGCAGAGATTTGTATACCCACAGATTTTTTTGGTCTCTGAATACCCCCTTAACTGTTTGTAAAGTCAGTGGGTTGTAAATCTTTGCAGCTTCCACGGTTCAGATAAAACTTTGAGCATGACATGAGAAAATGAGTCTTGATCATGAGGTGGAAGAGAAGTCACCTGATCTGATAATATTAATTTTTAATATTGAAATTTGATTGCCGTTTAGAGATCATGATATTTGAAGCTAAAATCCTTATTCTGGTAAGGCTGTAGAATATCACTTTTTTAAAATGTGTCACTGTTAGTTACAATATTAGTGTTAGAATGTGAAATAAAATGTTGGCACCTTTTACTATTTAGAGATTCTGGCTAATATTCTAGTAAGCTTTGATATTTATTTAAATAATTGGTTTTATGAATTGACTGATTGCTTTAGAAGGCTGAACACAGTTAATCTAGTGTTGCAGCTTAGTATTTTGTACTGATGTAAATATGAATTTTTATCTTAAAGTATATAAATTGAACAGATCTTTATTTGGACAATTTTGCTGATCATATTTGTCTTAACAGCTGAATTAAGCTTTAACTGGTTTAGAATGTAGTCATCTGACAGGTTGATTTAAAGTCAGATCTACACTTGAAGTGATTGTTTATAAATTCCTTGGCTGTTGCAGCTGTTGATCTAAATGTGTCCTTCTGTACATTTTAACTGCAACATTTTTATTAGTGAAAGAGAACAGCCTCCACGTTTTGCTCAGCCTGGAACATTTGAGTTTGAGTATGCTTCACGGTGGAAGGCTCTTGATGAGATGGAAAAGCAACAGCGTGAACAGGTTGACAGGAACATTAGAGAAGCCAAAGAGAAACTAGAGGCAGAAATGGAAGCAGCTAGACATGAGCATCAGCTAATGCTGATGAGGCAAGGTAAAATCAGATAATCTACTAGTATTAAATTTGTTTTGTCACAGATTTTTTTTGTGTAGCATATTGAGCTGTATATTAAAGATTTTGCCAGATGCTATTTAATTAAATGCATTGAACTGAGAAAAAGGAAATAATATTTCTCCTTACGGACATTCCTTGATGATTTGCAGAGATGGATTAAGAAACTGAGAAAGGGGTGATTGTCTAGGTCTGTTTTTTTCACTTTTTAAATTTGTCTAGTGTAAGTAGTTTACGTAAAGAAATTGAGTGGTAGCTTCACACTCACCAGTAAAATTATTTTCCATTTTTGGTGTTGCTTATGGTACTAGATAGGACTAAGCACTGTTTGTGGGCCATGTGCAGGAAAAAATAAAAGGATAGCTCGTATGTCTTTTGGCTGTTCTGTGCACCTCAAGTATGATTTTAAATGTTACAGTAGTTAACGTTACTTTTTTTTCTTTTGAAACCCAGCTGAGAAGTCTGATGCGTGCATAGTATTATACGTATGTAACAACTCAAAATAACTCACAATTGCCATGAATTTCAGTCATTCTTGAAATTTTAAGATCATGTATCTATCCATCTTCCATAATTGTTTGGACATCTTGTCTTCTGCTAGTGTTGGGGGGAAAAAAAGTCCTCTAGCAATTGCTTTCAAGCCCTATCTTTAAGAATGGAGCTGGGTGGAGCTTGTGTTTCTTGCACAGAGAGGACAGCAGCAGGGCAAGTATCTGGTACTTTCTGCTTGTTAGCAAGTATTCCCCAGAACACGTTTTTCCCAAAATCCTGTGGACATGCAGTCACTGCTTTCCAGGTCAGAACTATTGAACTACTACTTGATTTTAGTTCCCTCTGTATGGCTGCTAAATTGCAAGACTTCAGTGGATGAAGTTTAAATATATTGCAAATCTGTTGGAAAGGATCTCAAGGTTTGTTGCATGAATGAAACACTGAAGTGTTTTTTGTTTTTTTTTTTTTTAAATCTCAATTTAAGGGAGATCATGACTACTTAAAAAAATTCTTATCCCTAAGAGTGTTAGATCATAAGACAGTACAATACCTAGCTTGATAGGCTGAATGAGAGTGCCTTGTCATTATAAGGGATTTGAACTTGAGATTCTAAGTAGTGAGTGCATTTCAAAACTTAAACCCAGATAACTCATACAAGCTGTCTGCTGCAATTATTTGGCTTTACTTAATGCTTGCTCTTAGGAAGGGACATTTTTGTTGATAGTACAACTTCCCTGTGTGAGACTGGTTTATCTTAATTTTTTCTGCTGACTTGAATGACATGTTGAAAATATCTGTATGAGCTGGATTAGAGTATTCACTAGATTGGTGGAATTAAAGTACCTAAATGCTTGGATATACTGAATGTAAACTCATAGTCTTTCAAAATCTGTTTTAAAACATTTTCTTAACTGGAAAAGAGATTAAAATGAGCATATTTCATTTTTTATATAGTATTCTTAGATCTACTGCAAATGAAAGTTGTCATTAGGAAAAAATTTACTTAGCCTGTTTTTTCTAAATAGGCATGCCTGCTTTTAGTGTGAAACCATACTGTTTATATAAGATCTTGTACTGAAATACAGAGGATAATACAGTAAAAAACTGTTTTGAAATGCCAAATAGTTATTGCAGCACCTCAAATGACAAGTTGTTTCTTGGTTTATTTTCCAAGCAAAAAATGTTAAAGCATTTGGCTTGCATGTAAGCATAGGTATATCTTACAGGTGAGGAATGTGAATGTTAATCATAGAATCATAGAATTGTTTAGGTTGGAAAAGACCTTTAAAATCATCGAGTCCAACTGTTAACCTAGCACTGCTAGGTGCACCACTAAACCATGTCCCTAAGCACCATGTCCCTAAGCGCCACGTCTACACGTCTTTTAAATACCTCCAGGAATGGTGACTCAACCACTTCCCTGGGCAGCCTGTTCCGATGCCTGGCAACTCTTTCGGTGAAGAAATTTTTCCTC